AGTCCTCCAGAGTCTTGCAACTGTGCATAAACCTTCTATTCGGCCACCACTAACCAATGCTCACAAGCAGAAACGGCATTGGGCAGAAAAATACATGAAGACTAATTTTCAAACAGTCCTGTTCACTGATGAGTGCCGTGCAACCCTGGATGGTCCAGATGGATGGAGTAGTGGATGGTTGGTGGACGGCCAACCTGTTCCAACAAAGCTGCGACGTCAGCAAGGTGGTGGTGGAGTCATGTTTTGGGCCGGGGTCATGGGAACAGAGCTGGTCAGCCACTTTAGGGTCCCGAAGGTGTAGAGATGACCTCTGCAAAGTATGTGGAGTTTATGACTGACCACTTTCTTCCCTGGTACAGAAGGAAGAATTATGCTTTCCGTAATAAAATCATCTTCATGCATGACAATGCACCATTCATGCTGCAAGAATACCTCTGCATCAATGGGTGCTATGGGGATAAAAGGAGAGAAAGTCATGGTGTGGCCTCCATCCTCCCCTGACCTCAACCCTATTGAGAACCTTTGGAGCATCCTCAAGCAAAAGATCTATGAGGGTGGGAGGCAGTTTACATCCAAACAGCAGCTCTGGGAGGCTATTCTGACATCTTGCAAACAAATTCAAGCAGAAACTATCCAAAAACTCACAAGTTCAATGGATGCAAGACTTGTGAAGCTGCTATCAAATAAGGGGTCCTATGTTAAAATGTAACGTGACCTGTTAAAATGTTTAAAAAGTTAAAATGTTGTTAAAAGTTTGATTGAAATAACTTTTGATTTCAGTAAATATGCTGCAAACACAACAAATGACAATTTTCAGTTCTTTACAACCTATAAAGTGTTTTGAAACTTACTGTGTGTAATAATTTGGAACAGTGCATTGTAAGTGTTTTATGTTTAAAAAAAATCCTGTTATCATTAGGAGGTTTGTTCAATAAAATTTGAATTGTACTCTTAATAGTTGATAACATGAGAATTATGCTGACTTATTTACATCAATTATTTAGGTAAATGAGAAAAATATCATTTGCGTAATAATTTGGAACACGGTGTATATATATATATATATATATATATATATTTGTACGTTCACATCAGTCCCTAACCTTCAAGAAGAGTACAATCTAAGGTCCCTAACTCACATTCATACATACATATACTAGAGACAATTTAGACAGGATCCAATTACCCTACCAGTATGTCTTTGGAGTGTGGGAGGAAACCGGAGTACATGGAGGAAACCCACACAGGCACAGGGAGAACATGCAAACTCCAGGCAGGTGGTGCTGTGGTTGAGATTCAAACAAAAGACCCTAGTACTGCCAGGCAGAAGTGTTAAGATCCTAGTGCTGAGCTATCCCAATAGGAAGCTATCGCTATACAAAAGCAATCATGAGCAGCCAAGACAGTGACCATTTTCTAGTGGGATATCTCAGGCACATTTGGACCTGGATCTCATCCCTGATTCTTGGTAGATTAAGACTGGGTTCACACTGTGCATTCTGGTTGCAGGTGCAGGAATCGCTTTGGTTCCCGCACTCGCAACCACCCGCAGCTGTTTCGCTCTGCTCTTAGGAGACTCATGGGGTGGCATTCATTCTGAATGGCACCCCCAAACATCTCAGCCTGCAGGGAAACTGCAAAAAAAATGTGGTTTCCCTGCTGCCACATTTTCAAAAAGATGCCTGCACCTTTTTTTGTTTGGAAACATGGGCACAGCAGCTCTTTCAAATTAATGGGATGCCGTACCCGGGCAAACATGGACCGCACAGTCTGCAATAGTATGAACAAGGCTTAAAGGAGATTATACAGTCAGATTGTAAGGTGTGTGGGTGAGCTTTATTCAGGATATAAAACATCTTCTAATGTGTCCTTGTAAATAATTTAAAAATGTTGTAATAAAAGTGCAACATTTATAAATACCAAAATATATGTGCAAACTGATGTACAAATATAGTGCAAAAAGAAAATTCCCATTAAAAAATCCACCTTATAAAGTGAAAATTCAGTGTTGTTCTCACGGCAATGAATTTGATTAGTTCCTCCAAGTTCGTGTGAATCAAAGCAATATGAGCAAAACGCTTCCACCAATCCACCGCTATGCATGTGAGTACACCCTTACCAGATGATAAGACCTCCGGTTAGGGTATGGTCATACAAGCAATCCAAGCTTGGGATGTGTATCTGGAATGACAGGGTTCCTCCCAACGTAGAATCTCAAGAAAATAAAATGTAAGTTAATAAACGCACGTAGAAACAACAGGGACACTCATAGTGTAGTAGATAAAAGAACTTCACAATTTGTTGAAATTAAAACTACTCACAAGAATGAATAAAAACCAAACAGCAGTCATACAATCCTATAAGTACGTAGATTGAGACCCGGAAGTGGAGGTTTGTATGGCACAAGTGGAGGAGGAAAACACTGTGAGGAGTCCCTACAAGAGTCCCTGATGTTTCTACTTACGTTTATTGATATCCTTGAGATGCTACGTTGGGAGGAACTCCGTCATTCAAGATACTGATCCCAAGCGTGGATTGCTTTGAAGCTTGTATGACCAAACCCTAATCGGTCATCGTCCTAGCATCTGGTAAGGGTATACTCACAAACATGCTCATTTTGCTTTGATTCACGCTAACTTGGAGGAACTTATTTCATTTTTTCCTGTGAGAACGGCACTGAATTTTCACTTTATATGGTGGACTTTTAATGGGAATTTTCTGTTTGCACTATATTTTTTTTGTATATCAGTTTGCACTATGTTTGTTTGTATATCAGTTTGCACTCTGTTTGTTTGTATATCAGTTTGCACTGTTTGTATATCAGTTTGCACTATTTGTTTGTATATCAGTTTGCACTCTGTTTGTATATCAGTTTGCACTGTTTGTTTGTATATCAGTTTGCACTATGGTTGTTTGTATATCAGTTTGCACTCTGATTGTATATCAGTTTGCACTATGGTTGTTTGTATATCAGTTTGCACTAAGGTTGTTTGTATATCAGTTTGCACTAAGGTTGTTTGTATATCAGTTTGCACTATGTTTGCTTGTATATCAGTTTGCACTCTGTATATCAGTTTGCACTATGGTTGTTTGTATATCAGTTTGCACTCTGATTGTATATCAGTTTGCACTGTTTGTTTGTATATCAGTTTGCACTCTGTATATCAGTTTGCACTATGTTTGTTTGTATATCAGTTTGCACTCTGATTGTATATCAGTTTGCACTGTTTGTTTGTATATCAGTTTGCACTATGGTTGTTTGTATATCAGTTTGCACTATGTTTGTTTGTATATCAGTCTGCACTCTGTATATCAGTTTGCACTATGGTTGTTTGTATATCAGTTTGCACTATGGTTGTTTGTATATCAGTTTGCACTATGTTTGTTTGTATATCAGTTTGCACTATGTTTGTTTGTATATCAGTTTGCACTCTGTTTGTATATCAGTTTGCACTGTTTGTTTGTATATCAGTTTGCACTATGTTTGTTTGTATATCAGTTTGCACTATGTTTGTTTGTATATTAGTTTGCACTATGTTTGCTTGTATATCAGTTTGCACTATGGTTGTTTGTATATCAGTTTGCACTATGTTTGTTTGTACATCAGTTTGCACTCTGTATATCAGTTTGCACTATGTTTGTTTGTATATCAGTTTGCACTATGTTTGTTTGTATATCAGTTTGCACTATGTTTGTATATCAGTTTGCACTGTTTGTATATCAGTTTGCACTCTGTTTGTATATCAGTTTGCACTGTTTTTTTGTATATCAGTTTGTACTATGGTTGTTTGTATATCAGTTTGCACTGTTTGTTTGTATATCAGTTTGCACTATGTTTGTTTGTACATCAGTTTGCACTCTGTATATCAGTTTGCACTATGTTTGTTTGTATATCAGTTTGCACTATGTTTGTTTGTATATCAGTTTGCACTATGTTTGTATATCAGTTTGCACTGTTTGTATATCAGTTTGCACTCTGTTTGTATATCAGTTTGCACTGTTTGTTTGTATATCAGTTTGCACTATAGTTGTTTGTATATCAGTTTGTACTCTGTTTGTTTGTATATCAGTTTGCACTGTTTGTTTGTATATCAGTTTGTACTCTGTTTGTATAACAGTTTGCACTGTTTGTATAACAGTTTGCACTGTTTGTATATCAGTTTGCACTATGTTTTTTGTATATCAGTTTGCACTATGTTTGTTTGTATATCAGTTTGCGCTATGTTTGCTTGTATATCAGTTTGCACTGTTTGTTTGTATATCAGTTTGCACTATGTTTGTTTGTATATCAGTTTGCACTATGTTTGTATATCAGTTTGCACTATGTTTGTTTGTATATCAGTTTGCACTATGTTTGTATATCAGTTTGCACTGTTTGTTTGTATATCAGTTTGTACTCTGTTTGTATATCAGTTTGCACTGTTTGTTTGTATATCAGTTTGCACTATGTTTTTTGTATATCAGTTTGCACTATGTTTGTTTGTATATCAGTTTGCACTATGTTTGTTTGTATATCAGTTTGCACTATGTTTGCTTGTATATCAGTTTGCACTGTTTGTTTGTATATCAGTTTGCACTATGTTTGTATATCAGTTTGCACTATGTTTGTATATCAGTTTGTACTGTTTGTTTGTATATCAGTTTGCACTATGTTTGCTTGTATATCAGTTTGCACTGTTTGTTTGTATATCAGTTTGCACTGTTTGTTTGTATATCAGTTTGCACTATGGTTGTTTGTATATCAGTTTGCAATCTGTTTGTTTGTATATCAGTTTGCACTCTGTTTGTTTGTATATCAGTTTGCATTGTTTGTTTGTATATCAGTTTGCACTATGTTTGTTTGTATATCAGTTTGCACTATGGTTATTTGTATATCAGTTTTCACTATGGTTTTTTGTATATCAGTTTGCACTATGTTTGTATATCAGTTTGCACTCTGTTTGTTTGTATATCAGTTTGCACTATGTTTGTATATCAGTTTGCACTATGTTTGTTTGTATATCAGTTTACACCAGGGGTGGATTGACAACTCATGGGCCCCCCCGGGCAATAGGGGATCATGGGGCCCCTGTGTCCTTGCCCAAACTCAAAAAAGCCTATGAAAAGGTACCAGGGGCATCTCATGGGGCCCCCTACTGACCCCAGGCCCTCGGGCAGTGCCCGAGTTTCCAAATGGTCAGTCTGCCCCTGGTTTGTACTATGTTTGTATATCAGTTTGCACTATATTTGTTTGTATATCAGTTTGCACAGATTTGTACTATTTAATAGTTTGGTATTTATAAGTGCTACACTTTCATTACAATATTTTTCTTAGTTTGTATCATTACTCTTGGTGCTATTTTTTTTTATTGTTGCACCTGAGCGCAGAATTTACATATATAATTTAAACATTTTGCCATCCTTTTCATGTGCAAGCAGCACATCAGTCTCATTACATTGCTCAGTGCCATAGTCTGGACTAGCAGCTAGGATGATGAAGTTGCTCCAATTAGCAAGGTGCCAGGTACCTGATGCTTGGCCCTCTGGGGGAAAAAAAGAAGCTGCAGCAGCAGCAGAAGCAGACACAAGAGCTGTCACTCAGCTCAGACAGACATAGGTAGGATGATGATGAGTTTGCTCCTCCTTTCCTTTGCACGTGTCTGCAACTTATGTCTTACTGATGAATGCTTTTGTGTACGCAAGGCATGGACCAAATGGATGCTGCTAACGAACAAGGGCAGCGATGGCTGGGTTAAAATGGCTAAAAGTTGTGTATGACGCTTAGGAGAGAGCGAAGGGGACTGGAAGGGAAGGCTGGGCTGTTCATTGAGCCTCCTCCTCTCTTTTCTCCACACAAGTGATCCAGCCTGGGAGAGAGAAGAGACTGAGCATTGCCCTGACCTCCTGTGGAGCAGGCTCTGGAGGAAGCTGGATTGGGCACAGCAGAGATCAGCACATCCCATCCAGCCTCAGCTGTCACTTTCTCCCTGCTTGCATTGTGTGTGTGTGTGTTTCTTCTTTCTCTTATTCCTGCACTTCTCTTCTCCCACCCAGTCTCCTGCCCCTCCTCTGTCTGCCTAGTCTGGATGCATCTGTCACTGAGGAGGGAAGAAGAAGAAGAAGAAGAAGAAGAGAAGGGGGGTCATCCTCTACATTGGAACTTCCTTACTAAAAAGGAGGAGTGGGAGATCATCCAAGGGCTAAGCGATGGAGTTGTGGAAAAAAAAAAGAAGAAACATCTACTGTAACAAAGAGTTAAATGTTTGCAGGAAATAAATCAGGTGGAAACATCCATGATTTTTTAAAGGAAGGGGGATTTAACCTCTAATCATAATGAAAGCATTCTTCTCTTAAGATTTATTGCCTGCTTGGTGATTTTTTTCTTTTTTTCTACAAAGGAGATGTCTGATCAGCCATTACTTTTCCTGGCAGCCTTATAGGAATTTCTTGTTGCATTACATATAATTTTTTTTGTATGTGTGTGTGTATGTGGTGGAATCACACTCAGGATTATCTGCACATTTCACAGGGGTTTTTTTTTTTCTTTTTTGGTGTGTGTTCATCTCCACTAAACACAAGGAAAGGAGCAATGTGCTTTGCTCATTCTTCATGATTAATTCTTGGGTTTCTTCTCCCTTCTTTTTATATTTTTGCAGACCGTGGTGGGTTTTATTTTATTATTTCTTTTGAATCAGGAGGGGAGGAGGTGGGGAAGGGGAGAGGGGTGGTTGCTGGTGTCTCTGCTGCTGCCTGTGCTGCTGCTGCTGCTGCTGCTGCTTGCTGCCTGTGCTGCTGCTAGTGTGGGTGCAATGGATGGCCCACGGTGCAATGGGTTTCGCAAGAAGAGGAGGAGATCCAAATCCCAAAGGGATAGGGAGATGAGGTCCAAAGGAGGATTAGGTGTTGCCAGGACTGGTTCTTTGATTTCTTCCTCTGGATCTGAAAGAGAAGACAATGGGAACCCGACTGTTTCTTCCTTGTCCAGACCAAAGCCCCCCAGGAGAAAAAGGAAAGAGTCCTCTTCGGCTGAAGAAGACATCATTGATGGATTTTCAATGACCAGCTTTGTGACTTTTGAGGCACTGGAGGTAAGGCACAAGGGTGTGTGTGTGTGTGTTTTGGTGTAAGGGGGTTCATTTAAGGTCCTAATGTTTTGGAGTGTGGTGCTGAAGAGGTGGGGAGGGGAGAGGAGGTTGGACCCTTGTCACTGCAGATTGCATTTTAATGCTTTCACTGTAGGGTTTGTGATGATGATGATGGAGTGGTAGTCACAGCTGTCAGCAGGTCCCACTCACAGCCCCCCAGCAAGAAAGGGGTTAATTTCCATAGTGTGGAAATGTAGTGTCTGTGAAGGAGGGGGATAGCATGAATTCCTACCTGTTTGTGATTAACTGGTTAACTGTTGTGGCTGACATCCAAATCCAATTTTCCTTTTTTTCCCCTCCTATGCTGTGTGTGTGTGTGTTTTTTTTTTTCTGTGATCAGTACATCTGGGAGTGGTGGTGTTACCAGCGCATTGTTTGGAAAGACATAATGCTGCTCAATGAGACTTGATTCCCATGCATCTCTGTGTACTGTATTTACCCATCGTTAAAATATCTATGCTACCCAGCCTGATACAGCAAGCGCTCCCATTCTTGCTGGAGGGGTTAATGAGAAAATCAAATCCTCCCTGCTGACGTCCTGTATTAAAGGCTTGTCCTGCTATTGTCTGTGCAAAAGTGATTTTATTCTGCTTGCTGGCAAAAGCTTGTTTTATGTATGAGACTTGGAACACCTGCAGCGCTTTAACAAGAGAAATATATATTTTCTATCCTTAGATGTGTTTGTTTCTTTCGCTTTCTTTCTTATTCTGTTAGTAGCTGATTAGAGCACAATTGCAGATTGAAGTGTTTTCATTGTAAAAAAAAAAAAAAGGCTGACCTGCTAGAAAATATTGCTTTGTTTGCTTTTTGATGGCTTCTGTCTATTCTGTTAATACCTCTGCTGCAATAATCAACTGTCAGAAAATGTCACTGGTCTGCAAACTTTTCACATTTGTTTTATTTGTCTAGTAATTTTGATTCATACCATATAGCCAACTTGCAGAGTAATGTAATGCTGCTTGTGAGCTTGTCTGGCTTGTCCTAGCAGAGTTGAATGATTTTTATCCATTTTTTCAAGGTTATTTTATGGCAAGATCAGTTGATATGTGGTTAGGTGATAATAGAAGATATATGCTCCTTATGCCTGTGATTAGACTATATTCTAGCCATTTGTGCAAAGTACTTTGTAAGATGTTTAATGATATCGTCGTTTGGCATCTACCAGTGCCATGAAGATGACATTGACTTTTCTTGCCTCTGAATTGCAGTTCATTTAAGTATTCTAGGAACTGGCTTAGTACAGCTACAGGCTTAAAATATTGTGTTTGTTTGCCATTGACATTGAATGTGATTTGCATTATGTTTTGACCACACTCTTCTGATTCCACCAGCTGTTATTGTTTTTGTAAGCAAAATAAACATCTGCGTTTAGGACACTTATGTTCATCCACTTGTTGAAACATGGATTCCAGACAACCGTATGTGTGCAACCAAGGAAAGTTTCTTGGCTCTGAACTTGCCTCAATAGATTTGTTTTGCTATAACTGTATTTAGGATACATTCTATTTGTTTCCTGAGCATGCTAAGTACATGAAATCATGGAAAAGCTGGCTACAGGTGTTGGCCAAGGCTTCCTTCTTTCATGAGCATCAAGGTTTTTGGGGACACATCACAGACTTCTTCCATTGCACAACAGTGAAGCTAACAAAGGCCAGATCACCATCAATTGAAATACTTTGAAGCTTAATTCAAAGTATATTTGCATTTTTCAGATTTTACAGTACCTAAGTTACAGTTTTTGTTTTACTCCTTTATTTACTGAGCTGCCTCTTCCTAGAACAGGGCTTTGGTTTTATACAGTAGAGCAGGGCCCTCTGTTTCCTCATGAACCAAATTGTATTGTAACTGTTATTTATTTCAGGTACTTATATAGCGCCGTCAATTTACGCAGCACTTTACATATATATTGTGCATTCACATCAGTCCCTAACCCTCAAGGAGCGTACAATCTAAGGTCCCAAACTTACATTCATACATATACTAGGGCCAATTTAGACAGGATCCAGTTAACCTACCAGCATGTCTTTGGAGTGTGGGAGGAAACCGGAGTACCTGAAGGCACAGGGAGAACATGCAAACTCCAGACAGGTAATGCTGTGGTTAGGATTCGAACCAATCACCCTAGTACTACCAGGCGGGAGTGCTAATCATTTAGCCACTGTGCTGCCCCTAATGTCTACCTTCATTTTGTAAAGCTCTGTGCACACTGTTGGCGCTATATAAATCCTGTATAATAATAGTAATAATAATAATATACACTAGTTTTAAAAAGAATCAATAAAGGTGTTCATGAAGAAGTATTAAAAGAGAGTTTTATATCTTAAATATTATTGCAGAATTTTTTACTTATTTATTATTGCAGAGTTTTTTATCTTATATCTTATTGCAGTATAATAATGTAGACTATTCTTCTTGTCCTGCTGTACCTTTTGGGTATTTTTGATTCTCCTAAGGGGCAAGGAAACTTTAACCACTTCAAGTCCGGACACTTTCACCCCCTTCCTGTCCAGGCCAATTTTCAGCTTTCAGTGCTATCATACTTTGAATGACAATTGCGCGGTCATGCAACACTGTAACCATATGACTTTTTTTAGCATTTTTTGAGACAGATAAAACTTTATTTTGGTGGTATTTATTCACCACTGGGATTTTTATTTTTTTGCTATATAAATGAAAAAGTCCAAACATTTTGAAAAAGTGTTTTTCATATAAAATTTTGCAAGTAAATAATCTTTCTTCATACATCTTGCCCAAAATGTATTCAGCTATATTTTTAGTAAAAAAAAAAAAAACCCAAATATTTTATAACCAAAAATTATAATTTTTCAAAAAATGTTTTGACATTTTTATCATTTTTATTTTAGTTTTTTGTATTATTATTTATGTTTTTAACATACTGTCACACTAGCAATACAGTGTCACCATAGTGACACTGTACTACTTGTGGGGGGTGATGAAGATTTTTTTTTTTTTACACTGATTGCTTTTACACCAATAAAGGCTGTAAAAGCAATAAGTTCTCCTTCTCTCTGGCTGCATTCTTGCAGCCATTGAGAAATACTGTGAGAGCTGTGATT